CTCAGTCCCTCTGCCCCCCACCCCCCACCCCCCTTCCCTGGCACTGCCAGCCTGTCTCTGTGAGTCTGCCTCTACTTCGCTTGTTAGTTCATTTTTTTCATTAGATTCCACATATGAGTGAAAGTACATGGTACTTGTCTTTCTCTGACCGAGTATTTTTTAAAATCAACTTTATCAAAATGTCAGTTACATACAAGAAAATGAACCTATTTTAGTGAAGGGTTTGGACAAGTGTATACACCCATGTAACCACTGCCTCAGCCAGGGTGGAGAACAGTGCAGTCGCCCCGGAAATTATTTTAGGCCCCTATGTAGCCACTCTCACTTCACCACCCGCAGCGCAGGATGCTCTCCTTACTCGTTCGTTGTCTTTGTGTCTGATTATATCCCCTTGTCATTTTTTATTTTACCCTTCTTGAGTCAGTTGGCTAACACTTTGTCACTTTATTTACTTTCATTTCAAAGAATGAGCTTTTATTTGTGTATTACGTCATTTTTCTTCTTTAAAATTAATTAGCTAGGTGTTTGAGTAAGATGCTTAANTTTACTCTCTAAGATAATTTTAATGATTCCCCAATGATCTTCAAGTATTTTTTTAAATTTTTTCCTTGTTTCCTATAATAGTTTAAAGAGCTTTTTACTCTCTAAGATAATTTTAATGATTCCCCAATGATCTTCAAGTATTTTTTTAAATTTTTTCCTTGTTTCCTATAATAGTTTAAAGAGCTTTTTACTCTCTAAGATAATTTTAATGATTCCCCAATGATCTTCAAGTATTTTTTTAAATTTTTTCCTTGTTTCCTATAATAGTTTAAAGAGCTTTTTACTCTCTAAGATAATTTTAATGATTCCCCAATGATCTTCAAGTATTTTTTTAAATTTTTTCCTTGTTTCCTATAATAGTTTAAAGAGCTTTTTACTCTCTAAGATAATTTTAATGATTCCCCAATGATCTTCAAGTATTTTTTTAAATTTTTTCCTTGTTTCCNGAGAAAAAGGCATCATTCCTTTCTTAATTTATTTTAATGTATCAGTTTTAATGTATATGTTAACTTTTTTATAGCTTCTGAGTTTTGTATAATAGTTTAAAGAGCTTTTTACTCTCTAAGATAATTTTAATGATTCCCCAATGATCTTCAAGTATTTTTTTAAATTTTTTCCTTGTTATTGTATTTATTGGGGTGACACTAGTTAACAAAATTATACAGATTTCAGGTGCACAATTCCACAACACATCATCTGTACACTGTATTGTGTGCTCACCACCCCAAGTCAAGTCTCCGTCCGTCACTATTTATCCCCCATCCCCTCCTCCATCCCCCAGCCCCCTCCACGGGGCAATCACCACACCATTGTCCGAGTCCACGACTTTTTTCTCTTTTTTTTCTTTTCTG